TATATATTCTTGCGGTTCATGTGAAATCAATATCGCTTTATTTTGATTTCTTTGTCTCAGAGCCTGAAGCTATTTTGGGAGGGAAGCAGAAAAATTGAAAACTGTTTGATTATGAAGGCAGTTTCACCCTAATACAGCCCAGATTTTTATCGCGGGAGGAAAGAGCAGCTGCACCGCTCCTTCTCAGCAGTAACCATCACGTCCAGCTTGAGCGCTCCCAGGTGTCTCGGGAGTTTTGTCTGGAGTAGTGTCTTGTTTGCATGAGGAGCTGCCTATGGAAAACACAAGTCATCTGTGACCTCCTTCCTCTCCTTCTCTCTCTACCCACATCCTGCCTGGCTTCGGACTTGTCTTGACTAGGCCGACAAAGGAATGAGGAAAGAATGGACACGCAGACGTACACAGAAAAGCTGGGATTGGGTGGCCGGCGCTCACTCAGGTGGCGCAGGATCGACCACTCGCTAACCTGGAACCTCAGCGTTTTACTATGCGCCCGCCGGGCCGGGCGAGGGGGTTAGGGCAGGCAGGCGAGCAGTCCCAGATCGCGTTTTTTCTGGCAGGAGGAAGTTGCGGTTGCTGGTTTTTGGCACACACTGCCAACACTTGCACTTGGAGCGGGAGGCTTTCCCATCATCCCCTTTCAGCTTCACCCCAGGGGAAAGCGTCCGCACTCTCCTGGGACTGAGGCATAGGGTGGGGGTGGGGATGTGTGGAGGTGTGAGGTGTCGTCTCATGGGTCTGAAACATGGCTGGACCCTTATCAAGCAATATATTCATGACTTTATACTCTTAATTTACTGCTTCTTTCTTCGAGACAAGGTGTCATGTGACCCAGGTTGGCTGTGTACTTGCTGTGTACCCAAGGATGACCTCCTGCCTCTGCCTCTGCCTCTGGAGCAGGATTACTGCTGTGGACACCACGGTCCATTTAGTCAGCGCTGGGAATTGGTCCCTGGGCTTAGGACATGTTAGGCAAGCCCTCAACCAACTGAGTACATGCTCAGTACTTTTATAGCCTCTTATTTTTGCAATAAAAATTCTTACTATAATACTTTGCCTCACTCCAACATCGCCAATAAATAAATAAATAAATAAATAAATAAATAAATAAATATTCCAGCACTAAAAGGGGCGGGGTGCTAGGGATAAAATTCATACCCTTCAGAGGTGTTTGTTTAGCATATGCAAGGCCCTGGGTTTGATCTTTACCAAAATATAAAATAATAAATAATTAAATAGATGAAGTACCAGTATTTGGGCTGTTAAGATGGGTAAAAGGGTCTGCCACCAATTTTGATGAGTTCGATCCCCAGAACCTCCTTATTGGAAGGAGGGACCCAACTCCTGAAAGTTGTCCTCAGACCTCAGCCAGTGTGCCATGGCATGAGGGTGTCCCTTCTCCCAAATAAATAATACATAAATAAAGTAAGGAGGTATAATTTAAAAAGAGAGATTTGTGTTTAGTAATCTTGTGTCCTGCAGCCTCGGTCACAACATCCGTGAACTTTCATAGTTACTTTTTGTGTGTGAATTCTCTAGAATTTTCTAGATAGAAGATCACGTGATCCATGAATAGCCATAGGGGTAATTTTACTTCCTTCTTCTCTGTCTGGATATATTTTCTGGTTCTTACCTGATTGTCCAGGTTCCCATCTCTTTTATCACTTTAGAGGAAGTGGCTGAGCAGAAACCCTCGTTTTTGTTCCTGGCCTTACCCACTTAGTGATGGTATCAGCTGTGTTTGTTTATGGACACCTAGGACCTTTGAGGAAGTTTCCTTTACTCCCAGGGTGTTGAGGGCTTTGTCATGGAGTGTTGTTGACTATTGCTGGTGCTTTCCCTTTGCCTGGTGAGGTTTTGTCCGTGTGGAGCAGAACCTTGATTTTAAAGATTTATGTTTATTTTATGTGTACCAGTGCATGCATTTCCCTCAGAGGCCAGTAGATGGTGTTGGATCCCCTGGAACTGGGGTTACAGATGGCTGTGAGCCAACTTGTGGGTGCTGGGAGTTGAACCCTGGTCCTCTGCAAGAACCACTGATGCTAGTAACAGCTGAGCCACCTCTCCAGGCCCCCACCTCTTCCTCGTCTTCCTCCTCCTCCTCCTCTTCTTCATCAGTTGAAGAGTTTATTTTTGTGTCCTCAGTACAGTATCTTGTTGGTGGCCTTATGACAGCCACCGTGTAACCTTCTGTGCTCAGTGCTGAACCAGGCTTGGACTTTCAGTCCTAAGCAGTCTTCCTTGATGTTGCGTTCCTGTTCTCTCGCCAGTTTACATTTGCCATCTTATTTTAAAGTTGTTTTACATTTGCATGCAGCCAAATGCACTTTTTGGTGCACAGTTCTATAAGATTTTCCCCTCTTTGGGAGGAATAATATTATCACACTGTTTCTGCATTCCCATTCCTCTCTCCAAACACTTCCATATATTTCTCCTCATTCTTTTTCAAAACCATGGCCTCTTTTCTTATTAATTGCTGGTGTGTGTGTGTGTGTGTGTGTCCCTAGCT